TCCCCTTCTCCTTCATCCCCACCCCCTCCCGACTAGCAACCCTCAGTTCTTCCTCTGTGTCTCTGAGACTATCTCCATCCACTTCTCCCATCCATTCAGTTGTGCAACATTTTTAAGGATACCTTTTTTCCTGATTAGGCGTCATAAATGAAAAACTTTGAACAACATCCGGTGTTAGTGGGGTTTTGGAGAAAGGAACACTCCCATGTACTCTTCTTGGTAGGAGTATGAATTGGTAGTGTCTTCCAGAAGGCAGTCTCATTATTTATTCCTCTTTGGTCCAGCAGTCTCACTTGTAGGAATCTCTCCTATAGAAACGTTGAACAAGCATATAAAAAATACATGATCAAGGATGTTTATTACAACATATTCACATTAGAGTAAAAATGAAAACTAAAATGCCTATCAGTAAGGGGACAGATAAGGAATCTGTGATTTGCTTATACAATGGACTACGAGGCCCCTATTATATAAAGTAAAACACACATTCTGCCATAAAAAACATTAAGTGGGAAAGCATGCAGTCTTGATCCCATATAGATTACATTTTAAAAACTATATGTTTAAAAACTATACATTAAAAAACCTGGCCCCAACTATTAACAGTGATTATAGAGGAAGAGGGATCAGGAATTACGAAGAGATGGAGAGATTTTTCTTCTAACTTTATATGCTTTTGTTAAATTTGTTCTAGCAAATAGGTATCACTTTTATAATTAAAAAGCAAGTAAAAGTTAAAAAGAAAAGTAAGGGCACATGAGAGCGTATAGGCAGGCTCACCCTAATTCACCCTGCCTACACCTCGGCCCTGGCTCCCGAGGGCATCTAATGATGAACAGGGTAGACTAGGGTCAGGGTCAGGTCCATTTTGTCAAGGAAGCCTAGGGCTTAGGGGTTTTCTCCAGGGCACTGCAAGCCCAGAATATTTTATAAGGCCTCCAATAACAATGGCTCCCGTGAAGGCTGCTGTGAGATTAAATGAGATAATGTATTAAAGACACTAGGAAGTGGCTGGCTTGTAGTAAGTCTTCAACATTTTCCTTCCTTATTAAGAATGGTATTAAAAGAGTTTATGAGCAGCTCTTAGTTATGGTTATTATCTAAATATTATTTAAATTAAAATCCTGCAGCACAGCCGTGAAGAGTGCCCCTCTCTACTTCCAGATCCCTCCCGCTGGTACAGATTTTAAGTATTCAAAGCAGGTGTACAAATGCTTAGTTTCATGTCAGGGCTATAACTGCACTTAATTGCCAACAAAACCACTGCAAAAGAGCTGTTCACCTAAGGGATGCTCTTGCAGTTGGAAACCATGGCTACGTGGTTTAGAAGAGCATTACTTCTTTATCCATTAATGAAAATATAAATAAGTAATGATCACCATGCATATGGCATATCTTAGGCTTTGTAAGTTAAAGCAAAAATGGTTACTGGTCACCCCTTTCATGTTAAAAAAAAAAAGTTTTCAAAGTATGTGAAACTGAGAAGTGGGGTGAACCTATGTTTCTTCCTCCCTCCACCCCCTGGGCCTCAGAACCTTTCCAGGGAAGGTCACCAGAACAGAGATCATGGCTGCACAATCAAATAAAACCCATGATACAAGTAAATTGGGGAAAAAAGAACATTAAATCTAAAGATTTTTACTATAAAATTCTGGCTTTCTCTACCAAGGAGAGTAAATAAAATAAAACTGGACACATGCCCACTGCTGCTCATGTGGACCCGAAAAGTGATTATTTGTATGCTAGAATGCATGCACAATTAAAAG